GAATAACCTGGGAAAAGTTAAAATCTGGATTGGTACAAGCTTTGAGTAGGGAATATTCATCATCACCTTAATCTCCTCTGGTAAATATTTATGTATTTATTAAACTCTAGCCATTTGATTATGTGATGTACGGGCAAAAATAAAATCATATCTTCCCAGTGGAGCTTGAAATCTAAACATTTTCCTTGGTTCTTGATTTATTCTAATTGGTTCACTTGTGCTGCCTTCTTTTAAGTTCTCACATATTTTATGGGTGACTCTTTTCCAAAGCTGTGAGAAAGCAGATGTAAGGCCTGTGAGGGCTGAAGTCTTAGCACACTGTTACACCAGCTGTGCTACTGTTATCTGTGTGCGAGGATTAAATTGTCATCTTGTGTTCAGTGCTGGCAAAAGCTGAGTGTGTGACAGAGATGGTGACAGTGGATTTAACGTCTGGGTGGCAGTTACTTTGAATATCACTCGTACCACACATATCAAGCAAGTCAGCATATTAGTGATTGTGATTGGAATCAGTCTGAGCAGTCAGCTGCCATTATGTTCCCGTTCTTTCTGCATCTTGAATACTGTCACGCAGCATGTCTTACTGCAGCACGCCCTTCTACAAAACAATACTCCTTCCAAAAGCAGGTTTTGGTTAATTCACTCCATGTGGCAGTGTGGATCTGTCTCCTCTTCTTGCTGAAGGACACGATTCCACCTTTATAGACCATCTTTTACAGGTGAAACTCGGTCCATGTGTGAAACAAACTGTTCCCAAGTAGAGACTGCATTCAGCCAATTGCAGAGCTCTGTCAGAAGAGCTCTGACAAGGACTTGGGAGATCACCTCCAAGCCAGGGCAGCACACAAGGACAGGCTCCTTGCAGCTGCAGTTCACAAATCAGCCTATTATCTCAAACCACTATCCATATCAGTTTAAGTTAATATGTCAGCCTGTAAATTACAGCAGCTGAGGAGCCGGCACTCATTTGCCTCTTCTGTCTCTCCTCCATGGTGGCCATTTCTGGCAGAGGGGCAGAGTGGACAGCTGGAGGTGGTAGCTTCTAAAACTACTCTAGCGTGCATTGCCAGGGCTTGTCATCTGTGCACAGTGAGGACTCCAGCAAAAGTTGTTGCGTGGCTTTACAATTTTACCCATTGATGAAGTGGCAAAATCCAGAAAAAAATATACTAGCACAGCCCAGCATACCAAAAGAACCTCATGTGGGTTCCTGCATGAGCACAGCATAACAAAGGCTTCTCCTTTCTTTTCTCTATTCCACTGGTGTAGGCAGCTTTGCTGTTTCTAAAACCAATTTATGGTAAGGAGTCCTACGCTACTATTAGTAATTCCCACATGTTGGGGTCCTAAAGTACAGAAAACTGCTCTGCATTTTTGTAAACTTTTCTTGCATTCATTTTTAAAGGCCTCACAGCTCAGACACTTCCAGAAGGACACTGGGTGTTACGTGCATCTATGTAGGATTCAAGCCTGAGAGCTGGAAAGAGGCGTTGTTCCAGTCTGCCTGCAGAATTTGCCATCGCTCTCCCATCTTTTACAGAGATGACTTATACGCAGACAGACCAGGGCGGAGTGGCATCAGTGTTGTTGACTTCCTTGCCACTCCCTGAAGATGGAACAGCAGTTTTTACTGGAGTATGACTTGGCACTTGAGGTCTAAACTTCAATATGCCAAGATCTGTGTAAGTTTAATTTTTAAATGAAGGTGTCATTTTTGCACTCTCTTTCCATTGCCAGAATGAAGCTGATTATTGGTCGCAATTAATTCTGTCCTATCCATGTGATCTACACCATGACAGGTAGCAGAAAATACTCATCTGCATATGTTTTATCATTCAAACACTAGAGGACACCAGTCTGCAGATCCTGTGGTAAAGAAATCAAATGGATTATGTAGTGAGATTACATGTAATAATTTCTGTACTGTGTCCTTCCCATGGGTGTGATCACTGGGTTTGGGATGTTTTTGTTAGTACTATTTGATTTGGCTGAATCTCTGTTTAGCCTTTTTCTTTTGACTGAAAAGGCAAATGCTGTTCCTTAATCCTCCCTCTAAACCTTTGCTGGGAGCTACTAAGTGGCATTATTTATTGCCCACACAAGACTGAATGGTTTGTAATAATGGTGACTCAAGCCTATAAATCTTTATAATTATTGCCAGAACTATTGCTGTCGTGTCGTACTGTGATGCTTATACAAAAGTGCTGAGAATCTTTAATGGCTACTCATTAGCTTTCTTGTCTTTCCTCTTTACTGCCCACTTCACTGCACTGAACACTTAAACCTTTTGTATACAAAATTGCAAAAAATTTCTTACCTAGATTAGTTTCACCTCTGCTTTTTCATGTTAACACTAACTGAGGCAAGCTGCTTAATGCTGCTGGCATTTCAGGTGCCCCACCAACTTGAAGCCACGGGGATGGAGAGTGAGGAGTGGTGGCAGCGCTCAGCACAGCCCTGGGGACCTTATGGCTAAGGCCATTTGAGTATTGCTTGATGTGCACCTACTTTGTGATGGATTGATCCAGTGAAGTGGTATATTTGGTATTTCCATGAAGGTATATGGCCAACGATGGCTGTTTGAACTAAAGTTGAGGGTATTTGGTGCTTTACAGGAAAGGGGGATGCCTGTTGGTGGTCTGAAATGCCATTGTGATGAAGCCATCCAAATCCTCCCCGTGTCTTACAGATTCGTATCACTAAATGGGCTACCAGCTGCATAACTGACAAAGCTCACTAGCACACTAACGTTGCAGCAGTTCCCTCAGCAGAAGCAGCTTGCCCGATTTGAATGCTGAGGGGAGAAAAAATTATTCTCTTGGTTTTCTATTATTTTTGTTCTTAATTTGTAATGCATTTGTATCAATGAGGCATTCTCTCCAAAGACAATTTGGGGCACTTGGCCAAGCGGTGTCTGTGTTTGTATGGACAGAGTCATGGTGGCATTTGGCCAAGTCCTGAAAGTTCAAGTTGTCAAAATATGAAAGAGCTTCCTACCTAAAGATTTTAATGGGAAGACTGAAATGCTTTCAAAGACCAGAGATCCAAAGGTAGAATTTCAGCATGGCTTATGTGGGAAGCCATGGCTTTGACCAGACCTTTTTGACTCTTGGATGAATTTCACCCTATAGCACAGAAAGCTACAGAATCAAGGGGTAGGAAAGAATAGCTCTGGCTGAGGACAGTCTTTCTGGTCTTAGGAAGCAGATTCCTAGCACACAGCGACTTTGTTGACAGTCTTGAACAAGAAGCACCAGCATAGCAGTAGGCACACAATAGGTGGTCACAGAGACTGTCACCCTCTACAATAAGGAAATATTTTTTTTCCATTCTATCTGTTCCACCTCCAGCCTGGTAGCTGGTGGTCCTCTGCACAGGCTCAGCTTAGCAGTGTATATACCTGGCTGTTAAAGTGTGGCCTTAGAATATTTTTGGCTTTGGGGGCTAGGGGGTGGTCACCTGCTGTAGCCAAGGAGACAGGCTGTGCCTGGGAACAGGAGTGCAATTCTGGTATCTTTAGAAATGTGAGAAGCCTTTTAGGCAGCCAGGAAGGATGTGTTGCTCATACATCCTCAGGATTAATTGACTTAAGTAGATTTTTGGTGCTAATGAAATTTTCTTCTGACTCTAATCTGCAGGAACTGTGGGGAGATTTTGTCTTCCTCTGTAGCAAGGAGGACTTCTACTCCTGTCTTCTTGGAGCTTGTTGTAGTTTGTAGGTTTTGGTTTTCTGTATGACAGAGACGAGTAGGACTCCTCATCACGGAACTGCCCAAGAGGTATAAGATAAAAGGTGTAAAATCTTGAATGGATTGAAGAGTGACTGTGTATCATTTGTTATAATGCAGGAACAAAAGAACACCAAATTACGCTATCTGATGTCTGTCTGAGCCAATGAGTCCTTTTTCATACAGTGTGTGTGTCAATACCAGCACAAGTGGAAGAAAACCCTGTGGAAGGCTATTAAACAGAAAGATGCTCAGAATCCTGTGTTCTCTGTTGTACTCTCACACAGGCATGCATTTTGGGCCACTGTCAGAGACAGCTCAGTGGGTTCAGGTGGTTGTCTGAGTTAAGTCATCTTTCTGTGGTTCTTCTGACTTAAGTTAGGAGGCGTGGGATCTGTGGCTTGTACAAAGGCTTACCTGGCCTGAGTAGGAGGTCTAGAAAACAAGCAAAACGTAATACATGGAACACATCTTTTATTCAATAAGCAAGCAAGCACAGAAGTATAATGTGTAGTGCTTAATATTCATACAGTACTAAAAATATAAAAATAGAAATAAAATTTCACTGAAAGCATTTTCACTCACAAATATACAAGGAAAAGTGCTGTCAAGCCACACCATGCTACACCACTTGCCAGTTGCTGAACTGACAGTTTCCCAACAGAACTGAAACACTAAAAACCTGCTAGTCCTTCCTCATGGCTTTTGGTGAGCCTGAATACTGGACTAGCAAAAATGTGCCTCCTGCTGCTGAGGACCTAAAAAGCATAGATGTCATTACCTAACGGAACAATAAAATAATTCTGGAGAGTTTTATATTTATAGCAGCCTGCTTCAGGCTGTTTGTGTACCTGTCATAGAGAAGAAAAAAAAAAATAGAAATAAACTTGAATCCTGATTATAATCCAGACCAGTCATGGCTAACAATTACTGAAACTGTACTCTACATGAACATTTGTGCAATACTCCCACCTGGTGGCATGTTTTTAAACTCTTTTCCTTCAGTGCTGCAGTTTCCTCTGCCTGCTCACATATTCATCTTCCACTTAGGTCTGGTGAAGTCCAGTAGCACAAGCCGTCAACAGTGCCGAGTGCCCTTAACTTTTAGTGGAACTACAGGATATCAAGCACCTCATCTCTTACTGTATCTAATGAGTGATATTCACATCTACACAGGAAAGTGATACAGGTCAGACTCTGATACCTCAAGACAGACCCTGCAGCAGATGCCTTGCTTTTAAGCCCCATTTTGAGGGACTGAATTAGAGCTGGGGGCTTAAGCAGCTTCTGTTTGCTGACCTTCAGCATGGAGCTGAACTTCATCCATCAGGAAGACAGCTATGTGCTGTCATCCATGAAAGCACAGGTAGGTTTTGGGATTAGAGTGACAATCACAGCTAAATTTCATAACAAGGCCTATCTTGCAGGGTATGCCAGTGCACAGAACCTACTCAAATTATACAGACAAGGGTGTGCAGAACTTAATGTGAACCCCACTTCGATCAGTTACTATTTTGGAATGGGATTTATTTATACTTAAGATACCTGCTATAAAAATAAATGTGACAATTAACCCCTGAGATCATTCTAGCATACAGTTTTGGCCTGTTACTCATTTCCCTCTGAAATAATTTTTTATTTGGTTTACGGACATTTATTCAGGTTCTAGTGAAAAGCTTTTATAAAGCACATTAAATAATCAATGTGGGGCTGAAAAGGTGTACATTCCAGTTGCATATATGATACATACCTTATATGTATATAATACATTCCATAACAGCTGAATATTCTAGTATTGTCTAGGAAGTTCTTGCATGTGGACAAAGGATTAAAATACTAGAAGATAATCAGCTGTTTAGGATCAAAGATAATTGTATCTGATATGGTTTACTTAGATTGTTCTTTCTTTAAATCGTGTTACACATAATAGCTACAGTAGTTTGTCCAGCAGGTAATAAATGAATGCATAAAGCACTTCTAGCTATATTTGGATATCACATGCATGCATTTCTTATAAATAAAAATCAAATGTGAGGTCACATTTTCCCATCTTCTGTTTATAAACTAAATCAAATTTCTCATTCATTGAAACAGTGAAGATGTCTTTCCATAGCCCAACTCGTCCTGAAACACAGAGAAGGAACAAAAGTCAGAGAGCAGACATAACAGGACATCAAATATCTCCAGACTAATCATGCAAGGCATCAAGTATCATCTGTGAGATGCTAATCAAGTCTTAGCTTTCATTGAAAGCTCAGTGAGACATAAGGCTGTTCATTGTCTTACCCAATTCCCCTGCTACAACCCTTGCAAAGCCTTAAAATGAGTACCAGTAGGCACCATACACCTTGTCATCTGCATGAGCAGAGTATTATACAGGAAGAATTCATTATTTTTGTGAGATTTTGCTCTAGCCTTGAACAGAAATTAACACAGATTTGGGTTTGGGTATTCATTTAAAAGTGGATTTCTGGTTTCAGTGCAAACTATGTCTGTTTAAGAATTCCAACAGCTAACAATAACACATTTCAAAATTACTGTGCCTTCAGAATACACTGGTTAGAGAACTATCCAAAAGGTACAAGGAATGCAGAGTATTAAACTGATTATGGAGATGTAATATTAATATTACTAATTTCTATTATTTTCTATTTAAAGAAAAGTTCATCAGATAAATTTACATTTCCCAATATGGAGATAATTATTTGTTAAATGTGAGTGCCTAGATTATATCTATAGAAGAGAACAAGTCCCATGCACCCAGTTGGTGGCATTTAAATTTTAATTTTGTACACAAGAAATAGGAAGCTTTTCATGGATACAATATGATCACTGAACACTTTTTCCTTGTACAGAGTATTTTTCTACTGAACTCAACTAGTAACATAACCTGATGACATTGCTGAACCCACCACTCAAAGGCTGTGGCCCCCTTAACCACTGTTTCACTGCAGTCCAGAATTTATTTAACTTAAAAGTCATCCAGGATTACTTGTTGGTGAATAAGCCCCACAGAGTAACCAGACTGAGAGGCCCAATTCTCTTCTCATTTATGTTCTATATAAATAGAGACAAAATCCAGGCTTGTTCAACTGGAATAAATGAAAGGAGAATTGGGACTGTGCTACCAGAGAGTTTAATCATAACAGCAAGAACAAAACTACATGCAGGGAGCTTAATTATGCATTTGATGCATAAGAAGAATACCCATTTAATTTAATTACCATTGCTTTTATGCAGCAACTCTATAATTGAGTCGAAAGACAAAACTGTCTGAAACATCTACAAATTACATATTAACATGATGGTGTAGTATGTGTGGCAAGGACCATTTTATGAAATCAGGATTTTCCTATAACTCCTGAAGGTATGGATAGTTTTCTGTTTTGTTTTCAGGATCCAAAAACCAAAAGAACCTGAAACTGACTGAAAATGCATCATTTATTGTTTTCACCAAATTTCTCCCATATCAAGAAAAACATTAAGAAAACATTTGAGAAAACGCATGCAATCATAAACATCTGACACCGATTTCAATTCTGCTCTGGAAACTATAATTGCATAAAGTGCAGCATGAAGCATAAAAGCCTGTATTTCCCTTTCAATAACGATAATAAAACATTTTCTTCCTCTGCTTGGGAAAGATAAGCCTTTTACTTCCAAATCTCCCTAACAACATGTATGGACAGATGACAAGTTTTATAAAGGACATATGCAGTGGATTATTTGTAACATTTTTTTTTTTTCACCATATGAATTCATAGCTTGTCAAAAAGTCACCCACCTGGTTTATGATTTGAATCATGCAACTGTGTAAATTATGATGTGATAAGAGTCAAATATAAGTAACATATCTAATCATTGTTCTGCTTTCACAGCAGCTCAGGGTTATCTTCAGAGTTAAGATCAATGTGCTAAAAGAAAAAAAAATTAAGAACTAAAATAAAGCAAAATAATAAAGTAAATGTAACTAATGACAAATTAAAAATATTTGAAACAAATTACAATAAGCTGTCATGTTATTGCTGCCATTCTTTGTCACAGAAACGAACAGAGAGGGAACAAAGCACTGTTAATGAAGCTGCATTCTGAAGTAACAAAATATTGTAAAAGCCAGAGACAGCAAACAAAATAAATTCAAAATAAGGATATTTTTCATAAAAAGCACACAGTAAACAAATGACAAAAATATTACATTAACTGCTGCAGCTCCCTTCCTTCTCTATTGCAAAATAGAGGTTTCTCTTTGGAAGATTTGTAGACAGTATAAATAAGAGGCTCTGCCCCTTGACTACAGGTTTGCAGGCTCCACTACAGAACAATGAACGCTTAACACCACAGACAGAACAGTGCATGCAGCAAAAGTGGGCATCACCCTTTTTATCTGGATGGAGATGAACCAGTCAGCAGAAACAGCAGTTGGCCCTTCTGCCTCTGGAAAGTCTTGCCAGCAGCTCTGTTCTCTTTTCTCTTGTATTGCAACCTCACCTTTCCTTCATAACCACCTTTCTGGCTTTCACTGGGCAAGGAAGGGGAATTTGGGCTGTGCATAGCATGTAGCAGTGCTGCTCCTCCACAGATGTCCAGATCGTGGAAGTTAGGAACAAACCTAGGGTTTTGTGTTACATGCAAGTCAATGGAGGAGAACACAGCTCTGTTATTTGTAAAATCTTGCACTGACACAGAATACTTTATCCAAGGCCCTCAGACTATCTTACCAAACTCATTATTTTGTGATCTTGACTTCATAGCAGAGAAGTGGGTTGGTAATCAGTTAGGCAACATGCCATAAGATCCTACTGCAAATGAGATGGTCTGTTGTTTTCACACAAGATACAAGTTGTGTTACATGATGAATTTTCATTTTGAAGTAGCAAGGGGAGGGATAGGATGGGAGTTGAAAGCAAGATAACTAAGAGCAGGAAGACACATAATTCAGTGGAGACTATCAGAACCTATAGGGAATATATCAGGTCTTTCAGTGAAACTACAAACCCCTTTGTCTTCACTGGAATTTTACCTTAAGCCAGCAAAATGGAGATATTTATTTCAAGAACTCATCATTACCATCACATAAGTGAACTGGGGCAAAAAGAGGTGCCATATCACAGTTATGACAGAGAGCATCCCATAGGAATCTGGTTTCAAGGCCCTACTGTAATAACTGGAGTGTATAGCCCCTACAGAATATAAGAAGAGCCTTTCTTCCATACCAGCTGTGCAAAGTCACAGATAAAAGCAAGATGTGTGAGCAATGGCTTTTTTTCCAAGTATAACATTCTAAAATGTTTGTGCCAACACACAAACAGGACAATTTATTCTGGGTCAGTTACTCTGATGATAGTCTGAGCTGAGTAATGGAAAACTGGCATAAGGCTCTGTGAAGAAAGACACAAAGGTAGTATAGAGTTTCAGTGAACCTGCTTTCATGGGAAAGCAAACTTGCTTTCAAACAAACCTGACACTATTGGTAAGGTTATAGTTTGACTGATTAAAGATGAATGCAAAGATACAATAGACCTTTGTAAGGCATGTGATTTCAGTGTGTTTTTAATAGAACTATATAACATCAACAAAATGCATGATAAATGAATAAACAACTGGCTAACTCAGAATTAGTTGTGAAGAAGGACTGACAATACCTGGTATTTTTATCAGAGATTTTAAAATAATTATAAAAATTATAGCTGATACAATTTTCAGATCACATGACGGTTGGCTGAGAGAAGTAGTATGGAAAGGGCTCCTACACAGAAACCTAAGAACAAAGTATTCAGGTCACAATTCCTGAGTAAGGGACGATAACCTGTAAATCAGTTCCTCTGAAAAGACTTTGTGGTCATGATAAACACAAGTTTCATGTATGATGCTGCATCAGAAAGTGCTAACATCGCTATGGATGGACAAACATAGGAGAAGGAGAGAGAAAATTCCAATTAAAACTAGATTAAATTAATGGATTAAGTAATTTTATGTCTCAATAAGACATTTGTGAAGCTGACAATAGAAATTGCCCATCTTGATCTTATTCCCTCATTTTTAAAGAGCTGTTAAGTTCTGTAAAGCAGCCTACAGAAAATAATTTGAGTTCACTCTTTTATACTTATCACAAAGACATCTGAGAAAGGACTTGATTTCTTGACATTATCAAAGGACAGATGTATTAACAGACAAAAAGGCACTTCAGGTTCCTAGAGAAAGACCTCACCAGAATAAACATCTAGAAGCTAAATATATTTTCAACAGCTGAGGAAGACAATGAAAAGAAAAAGCTCATAAGGAAAGCTACAGGTCCTTGTCATTTCATGCCTTCAAATTGGAATTATCTGCTATTCTAGAAAATCTGATTTACTTAAAAACAAGGGCTTAAGTCAGGATAAACTGTATGAAACTGTGTGGGCTTTGACATGCTGATGGTGAAAAGGAGCAGTGCAGTCTTCTCAGCAGGGATAGCTCAATCCACTGAAGTAAGCCAAAGACTTAACAGAGTCGTTTGCATGGTGTTGAATATACACTGTTGATCTTGGATATATCTTGAATATACACTGTTGATCTTGTTTCCATCCTTTTTAGTCACTTCTACCTAACTTTATTTCAAAACAAACCACCAAATTGCACCAACAATCAGTTACCTCCCATCATTTACAAAGCAATATTTTGGCAACATCTTAACACCTCCCGGAGGTTACCAAGTTGTCAGCTGCTTCTTGCAATTTCCACAATAAAAGTTTTACTGTGGGTTTTAAACATACCCCTGCCAACGGGAAGTGCTTCTGCATTACAACACTGATCAATGAGCTGATGGCAGTGTTCCACCATGGATTCCAACTGTGCTTTGTCATAAGAAACTCCTAAGAACCTCACCAGTTGCTCAACCATTGTTGCTAGGTCCTGTAAGAGATTATTTAAAAATTAGTTTATTTTAAATGACTTTTTAAAAATGAGTTTAAATATTTCAAAATTAGTTATATCCTGATGAGTATGAAAAATACAAATGCAGAAGTTGTAGAAACACCACTGTCTTAGAATTCTGTCACCTTCCAATTTGCTGAAAATAAGCACATTCCAAGTAATTAAGGTAAGACAGGTCAGCAGAGTACACAATCATGTAAGCTCATCTCTTCAAATATTAGAACAGAGAGCTGCAAAGTGAGATGCTTCCCACATCAGTCAACACCACAGCCTTAACTGGTCACTTTGGAATACCAGTGTATTTCAGAGGAATTAAACATTAGTTTGATTTTGATCTTGGTAAAATAAATGATTACAAATGTTAGAACAGCCCTTCCATCATTGTTAGCTTCTGGGACTGCATTCATATAGATGAAAAGGATCTAGTGAGGTGGCCTCTGAGAATAAGCAGTCATTAATTTATATACTCAGAACTCCAGGGCTCCTTAGTATGAGTAAGACTTCTGGAGTTGCAAGGACAAAATAGCAATGTTTATCAGGAAGCAGAAAGATACTGTGATGCCACCAGCTTTCGGCAGCATCCATCGCTGAGTACAGCTAGGAATACACCATTATTCAAAATCATGGGTTTGAAATAATTTCTATTGAACTTTTTTAATTATTCTGATTGTATTATATCTTCTTTAAACATCCCACTTCATCAAAAGGCTCAGTAAAGCTGAAATTATAATTTACTCAGCTTTATTGAGTTCTACCCTGATTTTGCCTTTTTGTAGGTTCAGAGATAGGAGCTGGGTTTTGCCCATGTTTGCATTAATCTGCCAGTCAAATAAACATTTTGAAGTATTTTCATTAATTCTCAAAAATATACTATTGCAATAGGAAATGGAAACCAATGTTATTTCCACAAAATTTCTCCTTAAAAATAAAGTGGATGCATTACCCAGCATACTGTAAAGACCAAATATTTATGTCCACCTTATGCTACACAATCTTCCTTAATTGTTTTCAACATTGTTTCACAGACAGGAACCAAATGATCAGAATAAATGCCAGATATATAGGACAAAACACTGAGAACATACTTTTTTTTCCCCTCATCGATACAGCACAAACAGCAAGACATATATTTTAAATGAATGGCCAGGGCTGAGTGTAGCAAGCACTGAACAGTTACACATCTCTGCCTTCTCTGTGAAGAGTTTAGTGCCTATGGATGCAAGCAGATTCCTGAGTAAATTACTAGGTTTATAAAACTGCTGATGTACATAGAAGCTATTGAATGTCAGTGCTTTAAAAACAGTATCAGATATGAGGGAGCCCAAATATGGACATAAGAAGCAATTTTTGTACTTTATGTATTTCACACACTACAATGCTAAATGTAAAATACCTTTTTTCTACATCTAACCTACCTTATGCATATCTTCATACTTGAGAAAAAGTACATTGGCATCCATGTGATGTTCCCAAAACTCTTGCACATGTTCAAACCACGAACCATATCCTACTACAAAGACATTATGATTGGCATGAGGAAAATGAACACTTGTTATTAATCTCTCTTCAAAAAAGAAAAAAGGAGAAAAATAAATTAACTGTTTTTTTCAAAGCCCCAGGAGAACTGTCTGGTTTTGACCCACTGCCATGCAGAGCAAGGAACTTAATTTAAAAAAAAGTTTTTGTATCAGTTTGAAATATTCAAAAGAACTAAGCATAAAGATAAAATGTTCAACTGAAAATGCCACCATATTTCATGTTGGACCTCTTGGACATCCTGACTATTGAACGGAAACTGAGTCAAAATAAAAATTACACAGATAGCTTTGCAGAAGGCAAATTTTCAGTGACTCCAACCTGTGTGAATTCCTGCAATTAACATATCACACTGCAGTTTCCTTCACTTAGAAGCTAGATACAGCATTCATGAGAAGTTCCGTAGAACATCCTCTATTTAAAGATGAAGAACTGCTAATAACCATTTTCCTTTCTTAATTAAACACATATTGAGGACATGGACCTGTAAAAATGCTTCATGGTCATTCCCAATGCACTGACAGAATATTCTATTTGTCATTACATCTTTTGCCACTTGCACCCCAATTCTAAGACCTATTCTCTTCTATCATTATTTTCTGAACACTTCCATGCAACTTTTGTAGATATGCCAGAACACAGTTTCAATTATTCTGTTATCAGTTAACTCAATTACACAGTAAATCCAGACTAGCACCAGATGTCCATGGGGTCCTGAGTGCTCCCAAAACCTTAAGAGTGATGTGATGGAGTACTCCCCACATATCACAAGCTGTAAGCAGGCCCGGCATGCACGGTTGCCAATGATGAAAAGCTTACACCTCCTTCCTCCTGCACACCACCAGCAGCTTGTCTTCAGTTCCCTGTGTCTGCTGTGTGGGGTTTAGGACTTGAAGAGAAGCTGAGGTGCTACGCTCGGAGGGCTTGTACTCCCATCACTGCTGAGGCAGGTTACTGGAAGTCTTAACCCTCTCCACAAAACTTCCTCCTTTGTTTTCAGTTTACGTGTGTCTAGCAGAGGTTCAGACATTGGTACTGATTATCTACAGAATGTCTTTTGCTGCCAATATTACCAGAAAGGCAACTCAAAGAGAAATGTATTCTGTGTAATTTCTTTTTGTTACCAGTGATAAGTTCCCCCAAAGTACTTCAGATAATTAGGGCAGGAGTTAAGCAAATATGGTGAGCAGTTTTTCAGATTCTTTTCCAATATTTATTTTCTCAATTTTATCTTTTCAGCAAAGCAGCTACAGAAAAATGTTAAACTTTAGTTTTGTATTTTGAAGCCACCTTTTTTCTTTGAAAAAGAACTGTTTGATTTTGGTAACTGGAACATTTGCAATGGACAAAGAGGTCAGTTTCATAGGAAAATTATTTTAACCAGCTGACTCATTTTCAGTTTTCATACAGGTATTGGAAAAAATTCATTGTTGTTATTCCCGTTCCATACAACCCAAAATAAATTCACACATGAAACTAACACCGGTCAAGCAAAAAGTGTTCCTAGCTGTTCTTAATGGTACAGGGCAAGAATCCATTAAGATTATGTTAGCAGAGTTTACTTACATTTTATATAAGAAACTCACTTAAGCTTTAGAGGATAATGCCAAAGAATTAGCACATTCACAACTAATCCCTATCCACCTGTATGCTCTCAAACAACACAGCTAACACGCACTGAATTTGTTTCAAGACAACCAGGTATAAGGAGGGGCAAAAGGAGTGGGATTGTGTTATTTGGGCTCAGTGCTTCTCCCTCTAGCACTACTTTGCCTTCTTATGAAAGTTTTTTTTGCTGCTGCATTGCTTCCACGTGATGCAAACATTTAGCTACATTTCCCATATTACAACACACTCCGTTTGCACAGTTATGGACACAGAACATGCTGTCGTGTTTTATTGACTAAAAATAAAATAAATCAGCTAGCTGCTGTAAGATGAAGATATAAATAACTCTTGGAATACTTATACAAAAAAGATTACAGAACCTTCCTCCTATCTTAGGCCTTCTATGTCTTTCATATGTCTCTGACCAAGAAGTTCCTGATCCTGGGCTACAGACAAACATCCAGTTCTCAGGGAATGCAGAAGAAAAAGCTGAAGGTGGCCTGGAATGGAACAAAAGCATTTACCCTCTGTGCACAACCTTGCAGGAGAAAAAAGCAAAGGTTTTTAAGGTCTATTAATTAACCTCCACTGGTAGGCTTTTACTTTTTTTCTTCCCTGTAGTATTACACAGCTCCTTTAGCATCAACTCCTACAAGTTCCAGGTTGAAGGAAAGTTTGTTGCACTGGATCTAGAGGAGATCCTGCTCTCAGAGCACAAGGTACCTGTCAAATTCTTAGTGTCACATTAAGATATTATAGAGAAGATTTTGTAGAGAAATAGAAGGCAGTAATTTTTTTTTTCCTCTTCCTAGCTAGAAAGTGTAGCAATCCACTGGCAAAAAGCCCAGTGGCAGTCAGTTATGTAAGAATACCGATCTTGTCTTCCCTGTATATTTACTGAACTAGTGAAACGGAGCTACTTAAGGCAGTGCTGCCCTGAGTGGGAAGACAGTGGGTGCATGTGTCATGAAACAGCCCTTGTGCAAAGGAGTTAGACTGAGCAGCCCATCAGGTGTTGTAAAGCAGGTTATTGTGTTCTCATCATAGTGGTGTATTTTTCAGACAGTCGCAGCCTGAAACTGCCTTCTTACAGGAGCTCACTTCAAGTTACTGATGTACTCACACAAACTAGAGATTTTCGTACATTAACTGGTATCTTACTAGGGACAAATCTTGAGTTTTGGGATGAAATAAAAATATTAAAGGAATTACCAGGGAAAAAGTCTTGAGGGACAGAAAAACACCTGAGAAGTAGCTAAGCACAGTGAACTACAACTGAAATCACATGGTTCTGGGAACATTCACCAATTTCACAGGGTACCTGGTACCTTGCAAACTGAATTGTAACAGAGTAGAACAGAGTTTTGTCTGAGCTATGTGAAAAACTGCTGAGCCCATGGGATCAAATATTGTTAGGCAATTATTTACAAGGCATGGCCATAGTTTGCACGGACAAATCTAAGTCCATGCAGCATTGTATCTGTAGCAACCTCCTTGCTGTATAGGCAAAACAAATGCACCTTTATCCAGTTCATTTCTGTACTTGCAGAAGGAATGCAGAGATGAAAATAAATGTGTAACAGCATGTGCAGAGAGAACAGCTCCTTACACTTGTCATTCATAAACCTTCTGCAGAACTCCTGAAACGTTCCTCTGTAGCTCATGGTCCTTAGGGAGCGGTGAAACTGGTAATAAGACACCACCAGGTCTTTGGGGTTGCGAGCCATGTATATTACCTATGACAAGGGAGGGGGGGGGAAACAACAACATTTTATGGCAAGCTTTTCCCTCCCTCCATTTCCCAAAACACTTAAACAAGTGCTGCCAATATAGTTAAAAACAATTTAATTTCATTTTTACCTTTGAATTGCCATTATGGAGGTCCGAAGGCAAAAACCGATATGGTAGGTGGCTTTTTATAAGGCGAGGAGATGTCAGTTCCTAAAATAAAGCAGACAGAAGCATTTCTTATTGTGCATTAGTTTTTAGCATATCCTGAGCTGTCCTTAACTGTTTTACTTTAAGTCCTTTACTGTACTGAGTCACATTCACATAATTCACTTCTTAAATGAGTAGGGGTCTGGGACTAGAAATTAGATCAGAGTTATGTATTTTTAAATACCAAAAGGCTAGATAATATGTTGGGGTTTTTTGTTGTTTTGTTGGGGTTTTTTTTCACCCCCTTCTGTTTTCTAAGTACTTCCATTTGTAGGACCTTCTCAAGAAGACAGTGTAATAGTTCAAGATTCTTAGTATCTAACTTTGCCCCCAGTGAGGCTTCCACTAAAATTCCTTAAAAAATATCAGAAGCTCTGAAAACCTACCCTCACTTTTTACCCCCAACTTCTTACACTTTTTACTTACAATTTTACTCTTGCAATTTCTTTTATCCTCAGAATTAGGCCCAGACAATCCAAAGGTTTATCTGACTGTGAACATCTTTCAATCAGAGTTTCTATAATTTGAAATAAAATTGTCTTATGACACAAATCATCTTCCAGTAGTTAAAAACTGCATAAATCCATATTGGATCAGGTTGCTAGCACAGAGTATAGACAATGTGTAATCTCAAACTCTCACTATTGCTACTGCTTATTTGCATCAAGGTTGACCTGATGTCTCATTGGATGAGGCATCACACAGACGAAGAAAAGCAACCTCTGACCCCTAAATACTCTCAGCTTAAACTAGGCTGATGCTGCAGTTGTCAGTGACCAGAAGCAGCGTAGATCTATCTGTGCCAGTCTTAGCTAGCTCAGTTCAGCAAGCACTGTAGCTGTTCTAGGATGAGCTCAGTATTTTGCCTAATCACTCCAAGATACACCTATGTCAGAAGTAGTTACAGCAACAAGATCACACTTGTATGCCACACCACTAGACCAAGTGATTCTTAACAGCGTGGAAGTCATGCATAATATTCCAGACTCCTCAAACTATACCTACAGAGTCTGTAGGTCCACAGATCCTGGGTCTCTAAGGATTTAGATGTGTAAATCCAGAGTAGTGGGTCTACAGATTCATAGATCTCTACAACTGTAGTTCCTCCTTCGCAAATTCGAAGAAGGGATCAAAGCAAATCTGCCTCATTTGGGCAGTATTTTGTTTACACAAGCAAGGGAGGCCTGGAGCTTTTATTCAGGAAACACATTGCCAAATTATTTAGGGCATGGAGAAACATTTCTTAAAGTATTAAAGAGAATATAAAAAAGCTTCATAAAAGCCATTTTAAAATAACCTAATACTACTCTGAATCATTCCAACAAACTGAGCAAGTCCAGTGATCAAAAGGACAAGGACACAGGATGAAATGAAGTGATAAATACAAAACCAAGGAAAAAGATATTCAAATGCTGAAAGACTTTCTTTGCAATAAATTGTACCTTGATGATGTCCAGACCAGGCTGAGGATACTCTAGGACTGGAAGTTGTTCATCTATATTCATTAGTCCAATCTCATCTGGATCAGCTCCCTGACTCACTAGATACACCACTTCCTGTAGCAAGCCTGTGCCTACATAAACCAAACAATGAAAGAGAAAACATTGTATTACACTTCTTATTTAAACAGAAGCATATGAAAAGAGACCTAGACACAGAAATAATGGTAACTTTTGTCCTTAACAGTCTACAGTCAACCAAGTCTGTAACTACTGTTTTAACATAATATGTCTGCTCCCATTGTTTTATTTTAAACACAAGATCTCCTTTCATGTAAAATACATGAGATTTTTATTTGGTAATAATTCAAATACATTTTTGTCTCCTAATAATTTTACCTGTGAATTGGAAAGCATTTTACATATACCAAGTTTTTCCACTGTGAATGTTAGCTAAGCAACATTACTATTTCCATTTTAGATATGGGGGAAAAAAAAGCAGGCAAACATCATCCAAGCTCACAAAGGACATTAGTGGCGGTACTGGGAGACTGCCAGCATCCCCTGTTCTAAATTGTAGTCAATTTGACTGTTATGCGATGATTTGAGAGTCTATTTATACCTCCACATTATGGACTGGAGAAACCACTGAATGCACCAATGCATAGTGAGTTAGTAATAAGCTTTAGGGGCCCCACTTACATATCTCTCTCCAGTCCAAGGAGATTTACAAAGCAACCATTAGATATTATAGCCTTAATGATTGCCCTTTGGAAAATTAATAGGTATTCCAAATAGAAGTTTGAACAGGGAAAATATTTCAAATAACTTCACCTTCAGGCAGGTAGGAAATCCTCAAAACAGGCGAAAAAGGGTTCAGAGATATTTGGCAGAGGCTTATGAAGAGAAAGACATGGGCTTTTGGTGAGATGGAGGAACAGAATTAGGAGAGATCAAAGCAAGCTAGCAGGGAAGGGACCACACAGTTTAGATGGCAAGTCACACAGGCATGGGACATCCTGGATGCTGCAACAGACTGACCAAGTATTTAACAGTTGTGAGAGGCAAGAGAAGTGAGACCAGGATTTACTCTCTCACACTACCTAAAGGGAAAAAGTAATTGTTCTAGAACTCTTTGCAAAGCCCAAGCCCACCTCAACATCCCATATCATTGGAAAGATGAGTTGCAAACTCGGAGATCATGCCTTTCCTTCTTGTTTTAACTTGAAAATAACTTGTAAGTTGCACCAGTTAATTCATGTTAACTAGCATGACTGTACACACCAACAGACACATTTTGTACAAATTCTGTATGTTGTTCCAACACAAAGAAAACCAGTGTATCATTATTCAGATTTTTTTAATGTGAGTTAGGATGAGTTAAAAAAGCCAATGTACTTTAGAGGCTGGTTAGAGTGAATGCACTCTGGATATAATGTGAAAGAACACACGTCTCCAAGAATTGCTTCGGAGAGTAAGTACTTCAAGATTGTTCTGTTTCCAGACTGATTGGTGGGTTAATTAAAATGGCTTGGAAAAAAATAAACTTTTACATTATCATCACCCAGAGGCAGCTGTCACAGACTTAATACACACCTGCCCTTGAGGCTATTCACTCTGCATTTTTAAGTCCAAGCATATATTTTATACATTAAAATTAACATACATATGGTATTTCAGTATCAATCCTTGTGACTCTGAATGAGCACAACCCTTGTTCTCATTAAATATTTATTCTGACAGGAGACACCTGGTTCTCCATAATTTATTTCTGTATCAACCTGGTCTAGTGGAAGGTGTCCCTGCTCACGTCAGGGGGGCTGGAACTAGATCATCTTTAAGGTCCCTTCCATAGACCATTCTATGATTCTATATTAGATATTAGGAAGAAATTATTTCTTCTGAGGGTGGTGAGACACTGGAACAGGTTGCCCAGAGAAGCTGTGGCTGCTCCTCCCTGGAAGTGTTCAAGGCCAGGCTGGATGAGGCTTTGAGCAACCTGGTCTAGTGGAAGGTGTCCCTGCTGATGACAGGGGGGTTGGAACTGGATGATCTTTAAGGTCCCTTCCAACCCAGACAGTTCTATGATTCTATCTCCAATTCCACCTGCAAATGAAAATGCTATTACAACAACCTTGTTCCACAAAAGGAAAAGGAATAACTGTATGGGGATAAACACCACTAGGACTTTCTAATTTTTTGTTACTCAGCTGCTCTCTAGGCAAAAATATGCCATCTCCATTGTGCCTCTGAATACAGAGGGGCCACAGGGTTGAGGCAGAACTATGCTGAAACTTCAGGAGAGCAGCATGTTCCCTACCAGCTCTCCACAGAGTCTAACAGATAAGTAGGAGGTGAGAGCCAGGGAGCACAGTCCCCATGGCCTTACCTAGTTCTGCTCAGACCCATGGCCATGCATTAGATTTGGCTTGATTGCTACCAGATCCATGGAGCACTGCAGAGACAGGAGATGACATATTCATGTAGAAGGCATGGGGAAGAAGGGTTCTGATTCAGAAGGAAGTGGGCCTTTGGAAGCTCAGAAGTCTTCATCTAAATGTGCTTCCACCAGAAACAGTGACTCATTGAAAGAGTAATGCTGGGCACGTGGCAGGTACTCAAGGCAGAAAAATAAACATCTCGATCAGGTACAGGTTCTTTGAAACAGTGCTTTAAATCTGTGAACCTCAATACTGACTGTTAGCATGCACATACACAAATCACTGTAGTTATGTACATAGTGCTCACATATTGCAGCACCCTATTCCAATTCATACAGCAATGAGCACCTCTGCAATATATCTTCTACAAAGGGAAGGACTGCAAGCTGACAGCTTAGACACCTGGCTTCAGGCCAGCCAGCGGGTTCGAATTTCTCCTCCCTACATCTGCAGCAGGACCACTGATCCTGATTTCTCCCATCCATGAACTCAGTGCTAGTTTTCACTTTTGTCAGTCACTATATTAGCCAGATTTTCATCCATGTTAGCACTCAAGTTAGAGTAATCCTGCTTAGGATTTTCACGGTCTTAATGCAAATGAAAGCTAGAGATTTAGCTTTTGAGGGAACTGTGATTTTTCTTAACTTTTCAACCTTAACCAATTATTATTTATCCCACACACATATTCCCAAGAGCCCCATATAAAAGACTATCATCAACCTGATCTCCTGTTTAAAAAAAAAAAACAACAACCAAAACCCATCACATGCTTATTTGTTTAAAAACAAAAAAAATAGTGAAAAGCCTTTATATGTATAATTAGATATATAAAACCTCCTCACACCTCTATCAGGATTAAAACCAACTCAAATTCAAGTACAGATACCAACAGAGCTGTATGTTCTTTTGGTTTAGATATGATGGCTTAACCTAGCAACAGATAAATGATGGCCAAAATTCCAGACTTGGCTGCTAGGGCAATATTTTCTAGCCTCTGGGAACACCAGCTGGCTGGAAAGCCAAACAAACTGGAGTACTGTACCTATGTATACGATGAGAGACCCAGGCCTAGACTGGGGCTAGTAGAATTTATTAAATTTGCCACTGTGGGAGATGAATGTAAATCTTCTGCTGTAGCCCCCAATTCCTCATCTGCATATAAAGCACATAGAAATCAGCCATTTGAACCAACTGACTTAAACTGATGTCTGTGGAGATGTGCGAGAACCACCGTTTTATGGGTGAAAGCTAAATTGCTGAAACTGAGATTTTCAAAGGAGATTATGGGAATAACCTCCAATAATCCCAGTCTATCACAAACCTTGGCCAGATCTAAATGCCACAGAAACTTGCTTAGTAAAAGGGACAATGATGATACTTGGAGAGAAGAAAAAGAAGGAAGCTAAAGAAAAATAAAGGTGCAGAACTTACCTTTATATGCCCTAGATTTTTGGCCGAGCTGCCAACAGTGATTTATTGTCATTTGAGGGTTACTCACTTTTTAAGTTAAATTAAAATATTAGGTCACTAAGTAGAAAAGCTAGCAAGTATGTATATGAAGCTAAGGTTTTTCTTGGAGATGGTCAGTAGATCTTGTGCATCTCTAGTATTTCCTATCATTTTATCCTTGCTTTGCTGAATGCATGTGCATGTATGTGCATGCCTCACTTTGAATGGTACAAAGAGTAAACAGTCACTGACAAACAGGATTCATCTGTCAGCCTCTGGGCATGAAGCACCAGATGTAACATTCATAAGTGCCCTGCTATTCTACCCTTCCTTCTTTCAGCTGCAGCAGATCCACATTTCATCCTAGAAGACGACTGCTGGCCCTGCTAGTTCCAAGGTCACTGCCAAAACAGATGTGGAATTCATTTATCCAGTCCTGTGTGATCTCATCTAGGTGTTCCTGCTCCGGCCGGGGGATTGGACTAGATGATCTTTCAAGGTCCTTTCCAATCCCTAACATTCTGTGATTCTGTGAATTCCAACTAAAATGGAGGCAGTCAGCATTTGGGGAACTTCAGTGCACTGTACCTGAGAACCTCTCTGTCGTGACAAGCTCTTCTGTTACGTCAGCACAGTGCCCCAGGAGAAAAAGTGTTCCAGTTTATCACACAATATCTGTAAAGAGATGGGATGGCAAACAGCATTGCTAAGCTACTGCCAGAATTTGCAGGTTTTTAGGAGAGCCTTTTAAGTTACCTGTGAACCTGCATTTCTATTTTGCATAAGAGCATGTACAGAAGCAGCCCAAGTCACTGCAGTTTGAAAGCGTTCTATTGGGCTGCACTGTCCTTTTCCGTGACACCTAACAACGCACAGAAACCAGGGTTCATTAAGAATCCTATCACCCCTACAGCAGCCCCTGTGATGAATGAGAACTCTTCAGCTCTACCCTTTTTCAAGGCCAATGCCTCAGCAACAGCAGCAAAGTCAGTTCATGGCCATACTGTCTCTGCTTATCAGTAAGTGTAAGTGCTGCAGCAGCAACCAGAGAGCATAGCAGGGTAGCTAAAACCCTGAAACACCACGGCTACTCCTTTCTGCTCCTATGCATTATATGCCTTTTGATACCAAATTTAGTCTCTATAGGAGGGAGAAATATTTAGCGTAGCTGTTCTCTGGCTCCTCTGACTATTTTCTGGCCACTGGCACGCTCCCATGCAGCCACTGAACCTCAAAAATTTGTT